GGTTACACCTGCATGCTGTTTATCTGCAGAAAAATGATGAAATACTTTTTTAGTTTTTGAAGCAGCATCTCCGTTGTAGAACATGGGCAGTGGTATAAAAATGTAAAAAGGATTCAATCAATCAATTCTTTTTGATGTTTTCAAAATTTGACTTTCATTTGATAGAATGTTGATTTTAGAATTGCATGTTGTAGGAGATATTACCTATCAATTTTTTTGGCTCTGAAAAGAATGTGATTGTTCACTAAAAATCGGTATTGAAGTAAGGTGATACTTACCTCAAAAGCTTTAAGGTTATTTCTGCATTTCATAAACTAGGGCAATAATGGGCCATCTCAGGCAAGCGAATATCCTATGGTATGTTTGAAAATTTCTGTGTTCTGTGGCCCTAACTTCACCCACCTCAATCGTTTGATTTACGCATTACGTGTTTCCCACTTTCACACTGATTTGTGAAATACGTCACTCGTTCAGGTTTATCCAACCGGGATTCTCTACACCGATATTGGAATATCTTGTTTATGTAAAGTCAAGGTTACAAAACAATTTAAACGCAAAGACTTCATATTTAGGTAATTATTGGGATTAAACTTTTTTGTTGTCGAAACTCGTAAGAATACCTGAAACGTAACTTCCAGCTAATTTTAGTTGATTCAGAAATTGGAACTGCCATTTCTCATATTATAACTAACTGAAGTTTAGATTTTTCCAGTCAAGCTCAGGCGGTGAGGCACTGAAGAGCCAATTCCACACTAAAACATAAGTCGAATATTTTTATATTCTGTTGAAGATCACTTCCAGATTAGTTTAGGTTTATAAAGTTTTACCTCTGGTACACGCATGTTGACTTTTTTGAAGACATGATTCTGGACTTGCATTACCTTTAGGCGATTGGTGTATCTCTGGTCGTTATCCAGCTGAAACTGACACAATTCTTCACGGACTATAGCTAGGAGCAAGGCTAGGAGTTTATATATAATTTCAACTACAATTCCCACTAATTTGCGATTGCAGGCGTAATGATTATTGACTCTTTAAGTTGGGTCTTCAATAGTTTTGGAATTTCTACTGATTAATTGATGGGTTCAATTGAGGCTTTGTACCTGTCGTCTCGCTTCCCTTCTTTCTGCCGTGGGTTTGTTGCCATAAACTAGGAGGGTTTTTGTATTTCGGGCAAAATCTATTTCATTAAAATCAGTGCAACCTAAAAGTAAGGAAAACCCTTGTAGATTGATGAACTGATGAAAAGGGAGGGAGAGGAATTTCCCTGAGGAAGAATTTTAATAGTATTTTAACTAATTAATCAATCAATCAATCAATCAACTTTCATCAGTTTTCAATAGAAGAGGCATCTTAGTAAAAAAAGAGACCACATTTTACAAAATACACAAACAATTTTGGAGGGTTCCTTCACAATTATATGTAGGATTATCTCGAGGGGTAGGTCACTCCCCAATTAGGTGTACAAATGTTGAAATGTAATTGGAAAAATACATTTAATTACCTTAATTACCTTGCAATTACGTTCAATTACATTTAATTACACTTAATTATAAATAATTACACTCAATTACAAATAATTACACTCAATTACATTCAATTACAATTCAATTACCTTCAATTACGTTCAAATACCGCTCAAATACATTTTATCAATTACTTTCAATTACATTCAATTATATTCAATAACATTCAATTACGTTTAATTACGTTCAATTACATCCAATTACATTTAATTACATTCAAATACTTTCAATTACAATCAATTACTGTCAATTAGATATAAATACATGCCCTCTCCATCATCCATCTTTATTTCCAAAAAAAGTTAATTACATTTAGTTATATTCAATTACATTCAATTACACTCAATTACACCTAATTACATCAATTAAATTCAATTACGTTCAAATACATTTAATTTCATACCTTCAATTACATTCAATTACAAACAAATACATTCAATTACATACAAATACATTCAATTACAAAAAAATACATGTAATTGAATGTATTTGTAATTAGGTGTACAAATTCTATTAAGTGACCTACCCCTCGGATTATCTGTAAAAATTTCACAATTTTTCTGCAACGTGAAAACAAAGCTGGGTACTCTTATCAAACAGAGTCAAGCCTTAAAGGGGGTGTGACCCTAAAAAACGACTTAAGCTAGGTACTTAAATCAAGAAAAAAATTCTAAGATCTCTCGAGAAAACCGCAGTCCCATATTCAAAATAGTCTCCGAGAAAATTCCTTGTGAAGATAAATTATGCAGGAACTTGTGACCGCCGAAATCGCAGTCTTCTGTTCGTTCAGTCGTCAGTGAACCGTAACCCTATACTTTGAGTGGTTGCAATTCACTCTAAAAGATAATTGTCTTTTGTTTTGGATAATTCTTGCACGTGTTAATAGTCTCCCTGATAATCCAGTGTGACGTCACAAACACCTAGTGGTAACTTTAAACTACCCTAACTCGAAAACGGACCATCGTAGCAAGATGCGGTTCAAATACTTATTCTTAGATTTTTTTGCACTAAAACTTTCATTTTTGGGTCACACCCCCTAAAACCTATTACAACAAGCACCTAAATTTTCTAATTTTAAATTTCACGAATGAATAAAAAACCTCTCCAAACACCGTCTCTGAGGATGACGAGTTGGACCTTCTTAGATTGGGGGTGAAATATTGCCTGCACACATTCCTTTCTGGGAGTGCTGTTCTTATATACATACGCAGTCGAACTAGACGCCATAATTAGGTTCATTACAAATTAAAAAACCATCAAGGAATGACATACATAACATCTTATATGACACAGAGAAAAACCTTTCTAAATCTAACCAGTCAATCTCATCTTCCTTACAAAAAACTCTTGAGAAACTTAAAGTCAAAATCGTACAACAAAACTTAATCATATAAAGCACCCTTTATCCAATTAGTGCTTTAGCATTTTAAAGTGAAATAAAGGCAACACTGTACATGCCAAAAAAAAATAAAAATTATTTGGTAGTTTTTTAGATTGGTTTATTACAAAATGAAGTGAAACATTTAACACCACGTTGCGAAATTATTAAAATTCATTATCAAAACTAAAGCTCTATATGAAGGCAGCTTAGCGCGGATTAAGTGCACTTTATGGTCCCCATGATCGACCCAGTGAATAAACAAAATGTAATGTTGTGAGGAAATTTGAAAATGAGTTTAGGTTGCTGGATAACCCAAGAACAAATCGTGTAAGAAATGTGAGAAATGCAGAAAATGTTGAAGCTGTAATTCCAAGTGTTCGAGATAATCCAAATTTGTCTCTAGACGTCGTTTTCAGCAACGATTATTTCTTCCCAATAATCATCGAAAACCAACCGGAGAGATTTTGGTTCCATCAGGATGTCGCTACGTGCCATACCGCCAACAAAACGATGACATTATCGCAAGAGCAGTTATTCCTAAAATACCGGCCCAAATATATGAAAACATGATAATGATAAATTGGACTGATCGAATTCACTATTGTGAAGAAAGTCGTGGAGGTCATTTCATCGATTTTTTTTTAAACATAAATGTAATTAGTTGGTCTTTCATTTCAAATGAAATGAAAACATTTTGGCAACGCAGCACTGCTCGTGTTTTATTTCATTTCAAAATGCTAAAGCACTAATTGGATCACCCTTATAACAAAAGCAGACAAGGGCTATTGTGTAGTAGTCCTTGACAAACGTGACTAAATATCCAAAGTTGAAAATTTCTTACATAATAACAATTTTCAAATTTTACTTTCCAACCCACCCAATGGTTTCATAAGAACTAATAAGTTTTTAAAACTCAATGAATTCCTTGTAGATAACAATGCTCCCAAAACGTTAGTTTCGAGTAACCCAATGGCACGTTTATATGCGCTCCCAAAAGTACACAAAGTCGACATCCCCATTAGACCAGTGGTAAGCTTCACAAAAACTCCAATTTCAGTTGTTTCTTCTTTCGTGCACAATTTTATTAAAGAGGACATCTTGAAACTCCCAAACATAATTTCAGCCCACGTTCCGATTCCCAAATTTCACATTTATATCACTTCCAAAAACTTCAACCGCCTCGGTTTCTTGGAGGACATAGAAAACCAAAAAAGCTGCTGGACAATAGCCTTTGTCTCTATTCATTTATATTTATGAAGCTATGGCTACTTCCGGTAAAACCGGAAGATGACATTTGCCAAACCTATACGCTACACCGAAATTCATTCCGATCCGACGAAAATAAAAAAATGCAGAGCGAAAGCGATCTCGTTGATATACCCGATGTAAGGAGCTACCTACTCACCCATAAAAGATGTCTCAGAAGAATTTCCCTGAAAAATCAAACATAGGTATATACATTCGAACCAACCTATACAATTCCAGTAGAAAAATATTGCCAGCACAACCAAAAATTTTTCTCCAAATTTCTTCTATACCGACATGATTCAATTAACAGACATAAGTATTCCCTATTCCCCTAGTTTTTCGTTTACCACCCCATAACTGGTAAATGTGCATTTCAGATATTGCGTGAAAAGTGTGTCACTTCAGGATTTAAAAGCCCACAATAAATATATATTGATTTTGATGAAGTAGCAATCTACCTGTTCAGGATGGCAGGATTCAAAAATTGTAGGCTGCCGCTTTCATGTAACGCAAGCATGGTTCAGAAATTGGATTTAGTTCGGTTCAGTGAAATATTCCTTAGAAATACTCCGATACCAGTGCTTCTTGCACTGTTCAGGAGATTACCTGTAACTGAAGCAAAAAAAAAAATGAAATGTTTATTTGTAAAATGTATGTTCATACATAAAAGCTTGAATAAAGGATTGTTAACAAAAAGTATATTGAATTAGTTTGATTGTCATATTTGTCTAATTATTAGTGTATTAATTATAATTAAGTTGTTTTTTTTAAATACCTTTTATTTTATATTTACCTTTTTCATGATTTTTATATGAATACTTACAATAATTTTTCTTGTACTTCAGATTCACATTGCTCACTAAGACAGTTCACATGTGCCAATAAGAAATGCATTCCAATTCCGTTTGTTTGTGATGGAGAAAATGACTGCGAAGATAACTCCGATGAAAATCCAGCTGAATGTTCCAGTAAGTAATTTATATCGATTAAGCATGTGTAAAAATTTATTTGTTATGGGACAGTTTGTTATGTAACTACCTACATATTGTTATTTGGTATCATAGGTTTCCTAATAGTTATAAACGTAACAAGGCCAATGACTATAGCAAATGAAGATTGAGGCTGAAGTTTGTAATCCTAGGCAGTATATAATAATGCCGAAGATTTCAATCAGCTGAACCCAAGATAAGTTCCTCGCACTATCCTATATCCTATATTTAAGAATGCAAATAGATATAGGCGAGGATATAGGTTCTCTTTCAATAATATGGTGATGGTAGCGCTCATAGCTTCTGCGATCTTAAAGTTTTTTCAAATAGATGATATTATTAGTTGTTGCCCAATCTCCTGTTGGTGCCTCTGTGATTACCAGGTTGATTCCTAGAAATTCGGATTCAACTGATTTCTTAGCCTCTTATGGTATACATTTTGACATATTGCTATAGCTTGTATCGTTGCCCCTGCGGGATTGTATTTTGTCACTGTTCTTACGTCCAGATTTCTGTTGGTGGCTGCCTTCTAGAATGTTTTTGAGCCTATCGAAGCTTTTTTTATATTGGCGCTCTGTACGACAGAGTTGACGGCCATTCTGAGCTGGACGTTTCATTGCTTTCCTGTAGGACTTGGTTGCCTATCCCCAAGCGATCCAGCAATCGGTAAGTTGTGGGCTTTATATGGCTTTCGTCATAGTTATTGGTGTTTGATTTCATGGTGCTCTGCGGGTCTGTATTAGAACTTAACGCGGACAAGCCAAGAACTCTAGGTATACGAACCTGCCCCCAATGCAGCGGGCCCAGCTGTGATTGGCAATGGAGCTCCTCTCAAACCTATAGCATACTTCCAATATCTCTGCAGTCAGTTTTTGACCAATGCAACACAGAAATTCAACTTCTACAGAAGTAGACCAGCACAGCATTTGAGTGTGTCTTAAGAAGTCTATTTAAGGAACACGGAAACTAGTCAAACTGAGCTCTCAAGGTCTTCCATCTGGACTTTCAGCAAAGGACATCTGGCTAAAAAGAATTCTGAAAATAAACTGGCAGCATCGCCAAAGAAAAAACATTAAGTATTCTGGTGAAAACCAATCCCTTTGCTGGGCGGGTTATGTCGTCCACATGGCGGACTTAGGTCTTCCTAATACAAGTTATTTATTCCAAGCTAAGAGCTTTGCCAGGGCTGACTTCAAACGATTCGAAGATGTCCTCAAGGCTCGCAACACGCAAAGCACGGCTAAAACGATTGAATGCGGATGACTATTATTTAGTCATAGTCATCACAGAAACCATAGCTAATAATTTTTCAAAAAGAATAACCTTATCCGTTTGCGAGTTAATGCCACTGATGATGATGACGCTTTGGTTTTGTTTCGAACTTGTTGAATGTGAATTTACCAGGTCAGTTTCGAGTCTTGGGCTAATCTTCGGTATCTGACTTCTCTAAACCATGGAACATCGTCGATGTCGATTTTGGTCGGTAAAGTGCTTTGTTTGAAATAAATTGGCTTGACTCTTTTGTGCATTGATTTTGGTCTTCCAGTCAATACATCATTCTGCGATGAAGGCCATTTTTTAATGGAGTTTCTATTCAATTTCTACTCTGGGAAATTTTGGCACAATCGTCAGCTATCTTTGTCCCCTCGGGGCCCTCGGTCTTCGGGATGTCATGGATATACATAGATGGAATTAGGTGAGGTATCATGCACTAAAGCGGCTGATGGGACGCCAGTTCTGTGGGAATTTTGAGTGCATTTTGTATTCAACAACAACTTCAGCGTGTTTTCAGTTTTGCGGAAAACAAGCCGGTCTCAGGATAGAGTTGGTTATGTTCATCATTGCTTCTCTAGACATCTCCTTTATCATATTTATTAAATATTGCACCTTGTCCAGAGGCTTCTGCCACCTTCTTGACTTTCAGATTTTCTGGGGGACGTCGGGACTCCTGATGTCTGGTTCCCTATCGTAATCTTGTAGTCTTCTGGCGAATCGCTCTATTGTAATCGCACGATTGTAGTTCTGATCGAATGTTCAACAACCTTCCCTCTTTAGCCTGACAGCAAATGCTTCAGGTAAACCAAATTTCTCAAATCACTGTAATAGGAATAGCTTTAACAGATCAGCAAATGGGGATGTTTCCTACGTTCTTAAAACACGTTTTAATATATGCGAATCGATAGATTGCAATAGGGAACAATCATATTTTTCAAATTATTTTTTTTCTTATTGCTTATGTTTTCAAATATAAAATATATAGGTTTTTTTTTTGTATTAGATCCTCATTAAAATTAAAAAAATATTTTAAATTTCAAATTATTTTCGTTGGCGCGACAACGATAACCTTCAAAATGACGGTACTTGTGACGTCAACTGTCTGTAAACACAACGTTAAGGACGTTAAGGTCTGTTCTCACAAGAGCCTCTGACACTTTGCAAACTGTCAGAAAGAATCGCTCAGCTTGAACCTTCGACTGCATTGAGAGCAGTTATTACGTGGTTTTTCCATATTTAGTGCCGTATTGTGACATTTCGTGTGTTAATTCCTTCATCATGGTTGGGTCGATGAAGGATTTACAAAAGCACAGTCTTACAATCTTCCCTCTATACTAGACTTATTTATGGTGGTTCAATATCAGTCGTGGCGTGACGTGAGCTGATCGTGGACTAATCGTTCTACGTTCTACGACTCAAGAGTGAACCACGAAAACGTGGACCGTGGATTCACGATCAGTGTAAACTACCCTTAACCCTAATTTACGAACAGTTGACGTCACTGGAAGCGGCCATGTTAAACGTAACTTTTCCGCGCGAAACTTTTCAATTTAAAACTAATAATTGCCGTATGTCTTCAATATCGATAAATTTAACGCAAAACTGCTCATATTCAATATTTTACAGAAAATGGTGCACCATAAAAATAAAATAAGCCATATTTATTTCTCATGAAAATTCCCTATTGCACTAAGAATTTAATCGAAAAAATATTTGGCGTTCTTTACCTTCTTTTTGCTACCTTTTGCAGGCTGTTGAAAGGCAAGAATACACACTACTACTACAGGATAGCCTATCCTCTTGAGGCCTGTGTGGAACAAATCTGAAGGCTCCACCAGGCCAAATCACCAATTGTGACGTAGGCAGCATTTCCTTTCTCGCCTTGACGTAGGCTGTTTGCACCACAGGTTATGATTCCGTGGGCTTTTGCTTTATACATACTTGGTTCCACTACATTAATTAACATTCTAAAACAATTCTTTTTTAGATCTCGTTTTCATCGTCCTCTTTGCCTATAATGTTAATCAAAATTAAATAATATTTTCCATCAAAAATTTAAATTCTAAACTACGACCGCTAGTGCAAACAGCTGATGACTTAGTTATGTCGTCGGAAATGGTGACACACCAATATGGCGATGATTACAAAAAACGAGGTCGATAAGCAATCCTTAGTAGTGTGTATTATCCTTGGTTGACAGGGGCAATATTTTTGAATGCTCACGCTTTCACCGCCATCTCAATTGGTTGTAGTTGTAACATGCTGTGCTGCCAGCTTTTTTGACCTAACATTCGCCATTCAAATGTCATTTGTTGTGATAGAATTTATCCATTTTTCTAACTTTATTTATTAACTATTATTGATAATAATGGAAACAAATATGAGTTTCACCATATAAATACGCAAAGCAAATGACAAAAATTATGATTTTTTTAGGTTATTTGTTATAAAGCAAAAACAAAACAGCTTTCAGCCGATAACACTGGCAGCACCGCCAGTCAATGTTGCCAAGTTACTTATCTTTATTCAAGATATATTTTCAGAAACCATTAATTAAATGATTATTGCATCTAATTATATTATTGTTTAAATGATAATTATATTTTATATTAATCCAAAACGCACAAACTGTCAACATCCTAAAACAGTTATGCGCATGAGTAGAACCCTTTATGACGTCAGAAAGTTTGTTTGAATGTAGTTTCGTTTTCGAAAATTAATATAAAAAAAGCACATTAAGAATAAGCAAAATTCTATCCAATGGGCCGAAAAAAAAAATTCGGAAACATGCCCATTGTTGAGATTGAACTCGACTCACTCTGAAAAAGGTCTTATAGGCTCATTTGCATTGTATGTCAAAATGAATGTCTTTGTATACTTAAGTATCAGATATAGACTTTGCTTAATTTAAATAAACATTTTAGGTTTATTGACTCTTCAAACATTTATTTTAACTCAACTGTTATTCTTCGTAAACACTGGGCGGAAAATATTTTTAATTCTGTGTAAGTTTTATCTATATGCCGTTCATTTAGACAAGTTTTTAGACATTTTGTGATATCATTATTCCCTTGACAATGGTTTACTAACCGAAACGCGTCGGGATTTATGCAAATAAATTTTGTGAAGTATAAAGGACTCAATTTTTTCATTTTGCTCTGATAAGTGATAATGGAGTTTTACCCTGGAAAAATCTACGATAATTTATTTTAACGTCTGTGCCGTCGGCTTGATCCCACTGAAGATGGCTTTATACATTAAGGGCCGGTTTATTTATCTTCAGATAAACTTGCAGGTAACTATCTGCAAGATGAATTTACCGTTCTATAATTCTATTGGTCGGCGCATAACTGGCCGACCAATGAGATTATACAGATTGCGTTTTCATCTGCCAGATACCATATACCTGACATTTTATCAGAAGATAAATTAACAGGCTCTAAATAACATAACATAAGAAATAATTTACAGTTTTTTAGAATTTAGTGGCTTGCAGACGTTAATAAAAATTGATGAAAAATTTTCTTGCGTCGACTAAGATTTGAACCCAGAACCCTCGCATATCCAGTGAAACGCTCTACCAACTGAGCTACCGAGACCTGTTTCATTTCTACCTTGGCGGTCAAGTCTTTCATCAATTCGACAATTGTAAAATAAGAAATAATATTCCAGGTGTTGACATGTTGTCAATTTTGTAGTTTTTT